ACCAATCAGTGGCTGGTAATCATGGCGGAGTCAGAGCGGGAGCCAAACGAGCAGAGTTAGTTGTAGATTGTACAGTGTAGATTTATACACTTTAATTAAAAAAAATCATAATCACTTTGATTTATGTGCACATTTTCTTCAAAACTATTCACAAGGGTATGAGCAACTGTGGCTGCGTAATCAACCACGGGTCCAGCACACACAGTGACTCCCAGAGAACTTTAGATATCTATGCATGAAAAAGACAAACAAATGTTGAGCTAAACTTGACACCACGGTGTAAGCCTTACATGTTGGAGTTCAGTAGGCAAGTGGGTCAGATTTTCACCTCACTGGAGCATATTGTCATTTCTAATTGCATATTCTGGCTGTAATATGAATAGGTAATTGGTGTGACCACTTTAAATGGGTTTTGTGGAAGTAATTCCGAGCAGATTGTTGCATTAGGAATAGCATTAAGGTAGTTCCAAAGAAGCTCCAGTGTATGACCAAAATCTAGAAAAATCTAATTATGGATTTTATAATCATTTACATTTAGAAAAAATATTGTAGGAATTATTAGACATGAAGAAATATTCTGTTTGTGGAATGTTCAAAAGAGGAATAACCAACAAACTAGTTTAATATACTACCTGTATATACTGTATAAACATCTGTGTAAATCTCCATTCTGGTATGCTATGATGGATCCTGATACATTTGTAAGGAAAACACAATATTGTTTGCATTTAGAATGCAATACAAGGACAAAATCATGACAAAAACAAACTCCTGACAGCTAAAGCTAAATGTTACGAGTAAATATTGTGTGCTGTGCCTGTCGGTGTGTGTGAGAGAGAGAGCGAGACGAGTCAGGGGCCACGGGCGTCACTGGGCCGCTCCAGATTAATGGCCCCTATTATCTCAATGCCCAAAACACTCAGTGATGAAGAGTCACTGCCCGCCACCCAGCCTCAGACAATCCATTCAGAGGAGCGCGGTTACCTGCCCCGGTAGCTCAACGCGTAAGGTCGCTGTTTGTTTGGGCTGTCGTCAAGGCGATGGAGGCTCGAGGGCGGGGAGACTGTCATATGTAATAGTGACACGGAAACATAGAGTTGGCCTAAAAGACATCAACAAAATGAGAAAGCAGTTCATGGTAAATCTCACAATGCCTCTAGTTATTGTTTGTGTTTAATGTAATACTGGACTTTTCACATATTTTGATAATGATATAGTTTCCCCTCCATGTCCTTCAGAGTCTTACAGTGAGGTACCCCTGCTCTAGAATGTGTAACAATTGGAGAAAGAAATATGAGAAAATATATGGAAAATATATGAATAATGCAGAAAGCATCACAAAAAGTCTTGGAATGTAAGAGAGAGGTGTTGAATAGGATATAAATAAAGTAAGGGTAATCCATAATGTACAGGGTTGAGATGTGAGCATTAAGACAGAAGGGATGAGTTTGGACCAGTTGCTGATACTAGATAAATGCTGATGAAAACTGTGTCTTAAAATGTCAAAATGAAAACAGGAGTGGCAACAAAATATGTACTGTACCTCTGTGAAGCCACAGCTGCCTTGTTGCTAAATTACAGAGACATTGCTGTAATTTCTGAATCAAAAAAAAGTATATCAAGTCAACAAGAACCATGTTATAGTCACCACTTGATAAAGTAAATGTGTCAACAAGAACTATGGATCTTCTTTCTTTACACAGCTAGATTTTTCCTTTCCTTTTTCCACACATATGTGCATGTAATTCATATATCTATTCAAACGAAATTCTTTACAACAGCACATGCTATTTTCTAAGAAAAACAAGCCTCTCCACATGGCCCTCGACCTTCACATGATACCTAGGTGTCTGCTCACTCCTCGCTCCTTTGCCTCGACAAGAGCATTCTCAGAATTGCCGCAAGAAGGAATTATTCTCCCTTTTTTGTGAGAAAATTGCACGCTTTGGGAAGCATGCTCTTTGTGCCGGAGGAAAGGTTCCCCATGATTATCTGGAGGGTGGCGGACAAGAGGGACTTATTTATATGACTCACACGCACAAACATGCAACGCTTCAACTCTCTGTGAAGGCACTGCTGTAAGAATATTAAAGAATGAAATAAAATTGACAAGTGCATGTGACAACGTGGTCCAGAGGAATATTTTGGTTATGAGATCTGGATGCATCAAGACAAGCACAAACAGTAAGAATAGGAGATTGCATACAACATTCAACCCTTTACAAATAAATACTAAAGGGGTGACCAAACTTTTTCAATTGCTCGCACAAAATGTATCAAATTATGTTTTGGATCAAAACATTTTAGGATTATCTTTTTTTAATTGTCTATCTTTTGTAAGCGCTGGAAACGACAGCAAGTCCTATGAAGCTCAGAAACTCCAGATCCAGAGCAGAGCAGAGAATTTCATGGAGAATTCATGGTTTGAACCAAGCAGATCAAGAAGAGTTGCTCTGGCTAACAAAGCATTGAGCATTTTACTCTGGACTAGAGCAAAGAGAAAATGGTCCGAACATCACCTCTGCTGCTGTGATCTAAAGTGGTGTTTCATTTTTAATACTCTAAAACTAATACTACTATTGGCTACTTTTAGAATGATCCATTTGTTTGTTTTGTTTGAATGGATGCATCTAAGTATCTATATCTATCTATCAATCTATATTCTACCAAAAATCAGAACCGTGGCTCTTTATAAATGCCACCACCACTTTGATGAGAAACATTGACATTTTAAACCATGACTCACTCCAAGAAGGTTTAGCCAATAAACAAATTTCATACAAATTTGCTTTTACCATTAGAGTCATTATGATCTGTTCTCCTTGTTGTAAAAGTGTTCCCTTTTCATTATCTTACTCAAAGTGGTACTCTACATTTGAGGCTTCTGTCCCCACCCATTTCTCTGTTCGTCCGACTCCAAAAATAAACATGTTAGGTTCAAACAATATACAACATTTAAAAAAAACAACAAAAACATGATATCTGCTGCTGCTATGAGGAAATACAACTCTGGGGAGCAACTATTAGGGCTTATCATAAATACGAAGTTCAATACTGATCAACATGTGGTTGAAATAAAATGCTTCTCATCCTACGCAATATCAACCCTTCTCCCGCCACCATTTCTTCTTGCTGAACAAAAGCAGTAGAAGGACAGACTTTCCCCTGTGTCCTTCTCATTAAAGCGCACATATTGGAGTGATAATGGGAACGGCGGCGCTTCCTTTGGATAATGTGGACATGCTAAGCCATATTGATTCGCAGACAATGATTTTTTTCCAATTCACTCGAGAGCTCAAAACGCATCCTTTCTGTGTGGATGTCCAAGACGGAGAGAAGTTGTGAAGATGCATTTAATTGTTTTATAATTTGAAAGGAAAGGAATTGAAGCTGTGAAGCAGTAAAGATGAAGGGGTATATGCACCCAAGGGAGCTTTTTGAAATACGTTAACTTTTTTGTTTTTAGCAGAAAGGGCATGTACTACTGGCTAAATTAATGAAAAAAGAAGAAAAAGGAAAGCAAGTGATTGTGTTATTGTTGTAGAATGATGAGTCAGTGGCAAGAGCTCTGGTGTGTGTGCTATTGTAGTCTTGCACAGTTTTTCCAATGCGGTTTTACTGCCAATGACAAAGAAATTCTTGAATCTTGAGTCTTAATAATAATTTAACCTTTTAGATGCCAGAGTAAAACCATAGGCCGTATATCCATGATGATCATGGCCAAAATGATCTGGCTCCTATTGAAAAGTAAATTCCACCAGCTCAAATCACTTGGGGCTTTAAAAACATGAGATCTAGCGTTCGTATTGTGATATTGTTTCAGAAAATCCAGATATTAGTCTGAAAAACTGACCAGTCGGGCCAAATTTGGCTTTGGCTCTTGGTAACTCGGCCTTGGCCCCACATTCTCACTCAAATAGCCGATTCAAGCTAGCTCAAATCAATATCATTAAGCCAAACACCGGGTGACGTCAGCACTTGGTCAGCCCATTCCTAACATACAGTATATGAGAAAAACTGATAATAAAAAAAAGATATAAAAACTCACGTCTGTCATATCTGCAGCCCATGTGTAATCATGATGTATTACTAAACCCTTTAATCTTGAATCTTAAAGCTGTAATATAGTCATTTTACCCCTGTTTTAGTGGTTTAACAATTGTGAGAACTCAATTACTCGTGAGCACGCTCCAGAATTGCATCTCTGTTCGTATACAAGAGGTCCCTCGCCTGTCTCGGATCTGAGTACAGCGATAATGCATGGAATACAGATTGTTCCAGCGGTGGCGATCGATTACACAGCGCATTTGCCGTAGCGGGGTCTTGATAAGTAAATGGGGCTCGTGTCGTCCCCATCTCGCCGGACTCACGCAGAGATGTGCCTGTTGCCCCCGGGGTACTGGCAGAAAGGAACTAAATGAATCCCTGTGGTGGGTGTTTATCTGGGAGCCTAAATTAAATGTTTGAAGCAAAGGAAGATGATTACGGCAGTGTTTTTGTGAAGTATTGTACGTATTCATGCAAGGTGTGTGTGCACATTTATGGAAGACGTGGAAAAGTCTTGGAGAATGGAACACTCAAGCTTTTAGAATGGAATAAATTAGAATACACCAAGATAAATGATGATAATAATAGGTTAGGACGCTACATTATTCTCTCACTGGCTTGTGTAGTGGATGATGTCTGCAATAGAGGCAGTAACAGTAATAGAATTAAAAGTACTATTACTGAGAAAGGCAATAAAACATTCTGATTCTGATTGCGGTCTAGACAAGTATTTAAAGTCATTTTTAATCACAATTACACAACATACTTTATCTCATTACTACAATATACTTTATCTCATTACTTTGCAGTCATTGTACAAAGCGACTCAGCCCATTCAAAATGTGTAACTCAGCCCATTCACAAATACATCTCACAAGATTCTGCACATTCTTCAACATAATCCCCGAACTCCCGTCCCGTCCCTGCTCAGAGCTGACGTGGTGCTGGCTTACCTTGGCGATCTGCACACACCAGTTGAGCAGCAGCTGTGAGCCAATGTGGTCCTGATGCTCGTGCACGTAGTCGAGCAGACAGCCGTGGGGCATGAGCTGCGTGACCAGCTGGATGGTGGGACTCAGACACACCCCCAGGAGGCGCACCAAGTGAGGATGCTCCACACTCGCCATGATCAGGGCCTCCTGGGCAAAACGGGAACAACTTAGAAACATAAACAGAAAACAGTGGCGCAAAAAACACGTTCAATTGTTCTTCAAGATCATTCTAATCATTCTCATGTCAATATCATTGCTTTTTATTTATTTTTCTTGATCTAGTCAGAAGTTTGGGACGACCGTGGTTCAATAGGGAGAGCATTTGCCTTCAGGCCGGTTGGTGGTGGGTTTGATTCCCACACGACTACTAATGAATAGATACATGTATCTATTCATGGGTAATTTTCATATACTCCCTTCAGCATTTAAACACATCTGGAATGTAGCCGACTTTTGGACCTGTAAAGCCGTTTTCAAGAGGAAAGACGACGCCATACAAATGCATTGGGTAATTCTCCTTCCGGGTCTATACCAGTAGGGGTGGGTCCTGGCTCAAAAGTGGCCAAAATGACGTGAGATGACATGCTTGCAATACCACCCCGGGCCGATGGGGGTGGACCCGGAATAAGAATTACCCAATGCTAACTCATAGCATTAGCAGACCTCTCGAAAACGTCTTTACAGGATGGTCCAGAAGTTGGCTCTTGGCCCAAAGCTCCGTTCCACATGTGTGTCAATGCTGAGGGGGGTGAATTTATTTGGTCCACTCTAGTTTACTCGCTGTGAATTTTTGAAGTCACTCGTTTAAATGAATGGGGCTCGTGCCGACTGACGCATGCGCAGATGAGTTTTTTCACTTTTTCCAGCCCCCGCGGCCATTTTGAATCACTTCACGAAAGCCCAATTTTTGGCTCATTAGTTAGAACAGCGGAGATAGGCGTGACTACGTCCGTTAATATATACAGTCTATGGTCTATACCAGCTAGGAGTAGGAGGAGATTGCAAGCAATTGATTACTTGGTCCAAAAACCAGACTTACATAAACCACGTTCCAGTCTATGGTTCCAACCACAAAAACCCAGGAAGAAAAATATGTTTTGCATTCAAATTAAACTGCTGTTTCCTGGCAAAGATGGCTGCTGCGTTATTATAAAAACAAAAGCAGATTTGGATATGCCCACCGGAGGGCGGTATTACACCAGGTATTCTTATCGGACAGCACAATAACCATTAATGATTGGATCCTGATGAATTAAAAGCAAAACGTAATTGCCTGATAATCAAACCAATAGAGTTAATCAAGACAGTGATGTAATTCTGTCCAATCAGGAAGGATGAGTTTGGGAGTGCTTGCATTTTGTGAAAACTCACTTCCAAAATGCAGGGTCAGTTTACCTTTATCTGTATATTTGTAACATATTCATATAATTGTATTTATTCATTCGTATAATTTTGATGAAAGTGGCACCTATCCATCTATTCGTCCTCACCGCTGCACTGTGTGGTGTAAATGAAGACTTGTGGGAGGCCGATCCAAACTCTTCATTGTGTCCACAGAGGCTATAAGCTGCTCAGTGCTCTGGCTCGCAGCCTATACAAACTCACATACACATAGCTGCTTTTTCATTAATCTTTCATATGTGAGCAAAGCAGACAGTTGAGAGATACAGTATGTACAGTAATGATTGCTAGCCTCTTTATCTAAGTAACACTGTGCAGGAAACTGTATTTGATACATATTACTGTACAGTAACAGTTTCAAACAAAGCACAACAATATTGATTTGTTATTTGGGATAAGACAAGTCTAGCCCAAATACAGTATATTACATTCATTTATCTTAATTTAGGGTCTTCACAGTCCATTTCTCTTACAGTTAGCAGTGGGATGTTTGGATGTTTCCATGGACTATTTATTTCATCTATTTGAATGTGAATGATTTTATGGCTAAACAGAAGGATAACACATCAGAAATGAAACGCCTCCATCTGGAGCTGTTAATGGGAAATAACAATAACAAATAATTTTTTTTGGCAATATCAAACATTTTTTGCAGGAATTGAAGTTTAGTTTAGTTTATTTATTTAAGATGACAGGGACAGTGCACAATAAACATTAACCTCAAAGGGAGAGATGCATTATACCAGGTTATAGCTCAAGAGCTAATTTCCACCTGTAGTCCCTGAAAGAGCATGGTTGTAAATTCATAACGTTACTTTTTATTGATAAAAAATATTAGGTTGAATGAAAAAAGTCCAAGTCTGTTTTGATCAGGACCAATGTTGCAGCCTGGTTAAAACGTCTCCTTTAATAGCAGTTGCCATACCCTCTAACACACCGCTCTCATTGGTTAGGTCAGTAGGCTGGTTTGCAGATGAAGTGTGTTGGCGAGCGTGACCCTGCATTTGCCGCAGTGCTTCCACTCCTTTGGCTCTCCAGGACACTCATGGGCCCTTCAGCACCGAGGACAGCGCCCAGTACAAAGCAGAGTGTGGAGGAGACGACATATTCAAAAAGGTCGCTTAAGAAAGGGCCTTGTGGAGGAGAGAGCAACCCAGTACTTGGAGAATAGGTTTGTTTACAATGGCAAGTTTAATTGTTTTGCACAATTCATACACAAGGCAACTCAAAGTGCTGAACAAGACAAGGTAAAATCATAAATAATCGCTGTACATTAAAAAGAAAGATAAAATATATAAAATCCTTCAGTTGTATGCACAGCTAAACAGAACTGTTTTTAACCTGGTTTTAAACATTGTCAGAGAAGAGGCCTGTCTCACATCTTCAGGAAGACTGTTCCAGATGGGGGTGAAAAACTCTTCTCCAGTCGAGTTATGTACAAATCCATGTTTGTCTACTTTTTAGATACGAGCAATGACAAATGTGGATAAATGATTTTGAACACTATAAATCTTAAGGCTGAAGCACTTAACTTTCCATGTCACTAGTTTATCGTATCAGGAATGCTCTGGTTCTATCACTAGCTTTCACATGCATGTACAGTACAGGAATGCTTGGACTGACCCAAATCTAATTAAACCAAAGGAACAGATAGAAAACAATTAATCATGTTACAGATAAACTTTATGTATTTATTGCTAATTGTGTCGTGGGTTCAATGGACAGACTATAATGAATATTTGAGTTGTTTTTTAATGTATTGCCTTTTATTAAGAAAAACAAATATTTGCTTTGAAATTAGTTGGATGGTGTGTCTTTTTTTTCTCCAGTTTTCAGGTTCTCGAATATGTGCAATGTTTTCATCAGAAAATGAATTGTTTATATACTTTCCACTAGTATATATAAGGTCTTCACACCCATGTTGAAGTTTATTTGCTTCTTTCATGTCCAGAAGTGCTCCTCAGTATTAATGACTGTTACTACACTCACAGTGGTGAGCACCAGACTTGCTCCGGGCGGTTGGTAGATAGATGAGCTGCCGTTTTAAATTTAGATGCTGAAGAATGAAAGAATGAGTCTGGCACGCTGGTCGAAAGGTGCTGGTGGGCAGGGATGGACTCACAGGGCCATACAAAGACTTGGACCTAAAATACTTATTGGACCTGGACATGAAAACGGGATCAAAGCATAGGCCGTGGAAGGTACGCAATATCACAAACCAAAAACAATGTCAATGTATTAATTTACTTTAATTTTGAAGGACACTATTATGCCGGTTGGACTTGTTATGTTTTCTGTTATTGTTTTAACTCTCTGATCTGAAACATAGCTCTACATCATCTCCAGTTTAGATCTGCATTTCTGTTGTTAAATTGTCCTGGGATCCAAACCAGGGCCGTTTTTAGGACCAGACGATGGGTAGCTCAGCCTGGACATAAAATATTCGCATCTCTTATCAGTCTCTTACAGTGGTCTGGGGTCTTTCCCCGGGAAAAAAATGTGATTTTTTAAACAAACCTCACATGGGATTGTAATTATTAAACAGACGCTGTTCTTGTTTACATATACAAGACAAGTAAAGTTCAAGTAAAGAGGTTCCAAAGAGGAAAAATAAGTTCCATGATGTTCCACACAATCTAACTGCTTGTACCAAAACCGGACCTGGCTTAAACCAGGACTGGACTCAGTCCAACCCAGACCAGTCCCGGTCTAAACCAGAACTGGACCCGGTAGTGCAACTTTCATGGGGACAGAGTGAGAAGCGCGGGTCACAGATGAAGCTCCTGCATGGAGCACGGTTCCCACTCAGGAGCCTGCAAGCTCATTCTGCAAGGGCATGACTGCAGCAGAATGGACTCTTGGGGAATTATGACTTCAGAGCAACCTAGAATGAGTTATTTGTGAAGCTGTTTTGTCTGTGGCTCCTGTGAATCAGGTGTGTAGTCAAAAACTAAATTAATGTGGTCAGTGGCCTGAACATGTGTCTCTAATCCTTTACAAACAGCACAAGGAGAAACAGTGCTGGATCTGCAGCTCTGTGAGCATACATGCAGTAATGTCTGTGACTTCAGAAATGTTGAATACCATCAAATGAGAGCGTGCATGGAGCTTCAAGTCCTCACGTGCTGGCTAAACTATATCAAAAGTAAATTACTTAAAATAGAATATAAATCCGTCTGTAGGCACACACAAGCTGTTATGGAGCAGGTGGATGAAAAGCTGAGCAGCTGAGCTTTAATTAATGAAATTAATCGAATTTTAGATTATTGTTCACTCGGGACAGGAGAAAAAAAACATTCCGGGCCGAAGCCACATCAAGAGCATTTGAAGCTTGCGTTGTTATTCATTATCCTTGTAGTAGCAGTGGAGATGTTTCATCCGGTTAGGCTGAGCTTTTGTAGATGTAGGCCAACGCGCTGTAACCTTCACCAAAGTGGGTCAGTTTAAAATGGTCTCATCCAAAATAACTTGTTTTGGTGACTCAATTTGTTATTATTTAATTAAGAATATTTTACCTTGAGACAATATAAACAGAACCAAATCCAACCCCCGTGGTCTGAAATGTAACAAGAAAAGAGAATCTTACACGTGAAATGTTTGCTATACATTCTGAGTGTGGCTGAAAGCTTTACCCATCAACTTGGCTTTGAACAGTTTGGTTGAAAAACAGTGACTTTTTGGTATGTTTTTCTCATACTTTTCAAGTAACCTTCAATGTGTCTAACCCTGAGCAAGGACAAAGATTGCACCATGCACATTCTGTTTCTTCGTCTCTTTCGGACTGTCCATTTCTCAAAAGAAGAAAAATAGAAACAACCAAAGACAAAGCCAAAATAAAGTATGGTCCACTTTTCAATCTTCATCTCTAAGAACCTTTAAATTACAAAACCTGCACTTTCATAGACACCATTTATTATCTTGGCGATCAATTTCCCATAAACCTTTCCCCACTACTATTCCTTTTATCTGCGTAAATCAACACAACACAGAGCTGCATTTTCTAGCAGTAATTGTAGCACACAATCCCCTCCATGGCCACTAGGGGGTCTTCAGCTGGGTAAAATCATCGTTTGTGTGTGCTTGGTTACGTGACGGTGGGGTCCGCACTCCAGTGGCCAGTTTCCCAGCGGCGGAGCGTGAGGCTGCCTTTAGATTGCTGCTTAACAAGGCAGCAGACGGCACAGATTGGCTCGGGCTGGACGTGGGACCCCCGCTGGGAGAGGGGGAAGGGGAGGGGGAAATATGCTTCTCCATCTCTATCAGGGATAAACAGAGGAGAATAGAGCGCTCCGGCGGTGGGAGGTTACGTAGGCTGAGTCGAAATACAAGATGTTCCACTTTGGAGAATCAGCAGTCGATCAAATGAAAAGTGTGTGTCAAAAAGTTTGTCCAAATTCCTAGATTTTGGAGTCAAACACGAAGCCCAGACGATCCAGGTCAAACAGGGCGGCCATCTCTTTCATAAAAAATCCAATTCAAGCATTTATGCCGTGTTCCTTTTCACTTATTTCCCACTTGTAAACAGGTTTACTCCTAAATTGAAACTGATTTTTTTTTGTAATTATTTTTGTGAGCAGAATGTTGTTATATTTGACTTGCAGCAACTGTTACATGATGTCATATTGTTTGATATGTGATTGAGATTGGACAATTAAAACAATCATAAATTGGAGGTGGGAAGTGCCTGGAACACTACACAATTGATTATTTTGTGCTTTGCAGTAAAAATGTAATTACTTACAGTCACCTTTTGACAAAATTGTAATTCAAGCATTTTGCTCAACCAGTTTCAGTCCTTCTCATATTTCTCAATGTTTTATAGGAAACATGTAAACGCTAAATTAATCTATGCTTTGATAACTGACAAAGCTGACCTTACCACAGCTGAGCCCAATTAAAGGAAACTTCATGTCATAATCACACCAATAATGGGATTTGGAACAGTCTTCTTGAGATTATGAGAGAGGTTTCTACTCGACAATGTTCCAATCCACTATTTGAGGGTTCAGCAAATGAAAATAACATTTTGTGTGCAGTCTTTTCAATATTGTACTGTGGATATTTATTGTATTTAGTCTTTTTAGGTTTTAATTTTTTATGTATTTTGTAAGCACTCCAAGATTCAAGATCATGTTACAAGGGCAAAGATCTTTTATCCTAAAAGATTTGTATAAAAAGTTACAGGCCAGTTCTGTGTAGAAGTGACCGCCTTACCATTGAATACATGCAACATAGAACATTCCAGGAAAAACTACGGCCTCTTTTGAGACACAAGTTATCGCCAAAGTCTCCACAAGAAAGAACATAGTGCATCTTTCATTTCTTGTCGATGTGAATTCTATTGTCTTATGAAAACAGTCACTGTGAGAAGCATTCTCAAAAAGTAGCACAGAGAAAAATTGACAGACTCCCCCTCCTCAAACTTTACAGCGTTCACAACAGCATCGCAATAAAAGTGAAACTCATAAACGGCAGTGTTTTTAATAGACCCTGGCTTCCTTCGCTGCCGTTATTGCTCACCAGAAGTGGGCCGTCAGAGTCGGGATGGCCCGGTGCATCCCACAGCATTACAATATGAACTGCTTTGAGGAAAATCAATGAAACACTCACGTCCATGAACTCCACGTTGGCTTTGGGGCCAGTGGCTTCGCTCAGGATTTTGATGGCGACCGGGATCTTGACTGTCTCGCCCTCGGGAACCCAAATACCCTGTGGAATGGACAAAAAGTGTAAATTAAATACTAAAAGTAGAGGACCAAATGGAAGCATAAGATAAATACTGAATGATAAACAGAAACATGAAATGATACCACAACATCATGACATAAAACAATAACAACAACAACTTGAGTAGAAAAAAAACAATGGCATGTCTTCACACTTTGAAAATACATAGTTCAACACAGTTTCATAGCGCGCAGGTCTTTTCTGGTTTTGTTGAAATAGGAAAATGTAATAACAGTAACTAAATCACTATTGTTGAAAAAGACAAACACAACTATATGAATAAATATTAAACTCAGCATGTTGTGTTGTCTACAGCAGTGGTTCTCAAACTTTTCACACCAAGTACCCCCTCAGAAAATACTTGCCTCTCCAAGTACCACCACAAATGACCACACCACACAGTAGCGTAGTAAGCCGAAGTATTCATCAATAACAAGGCAGAGGTTTCATTCCTAAAGAAGTATATTTAATGTAATATTTTACACAGTTTCAACAGTAAGACTGCACTTAACTCATTGAATGCCAGCCTATTTCAGAACAGGTACTCCCACAGTGCCAGCCATTTCTGATGATTTTTACTGATTTTTCAAGACCCACAGAATATTGTGTACTATGACTATCTGAAATCCGACACCAGATTCTAAAAGAATGGACTGTCTACTTTCCTCAGCAAAAAGAATTTTGTTTATAGCTTTTTTCGTTCCCCTGTAATCCTCCGTCGAGTAGAGGGAAGTTTTACTGAAATCACCAGAAATCACCAGAAAGTTGAGAAAAAATAGGCACAACATGTGCACCTACATGTTTTCAAACCATTCAGAGAGCAATGCTGCCACCTGCTGGCTCGATAAAATATGGTCTCAAGTCATCCCCATACATATTAGATACAATAGACATCTGGGAACGTGAAAATAGCGAAAAAGGCAATTGACACGACGTTACTATTTGCTTTGACGTATTTGTGCGTCAATGGGACACAATGAGTTAAATATAGGAAAAAAAATTGTTTTAAATGTTTCATTCATTGCGAACTGCAAAGCCTCACTGTGAGTGATATTCTGGAGTGGGATCTTTGTCCACAGAAGGTTTGGACACTGGTGCACTTTAGTTTCTAAGGCTTGCTCTGCTGCCCTCTTACATCTGTCGTTTACTCACAGAAACATGTTCGTTACTCTCTGTTCCTTTTGCACAGAACTGGGAAAAAAAACCTGCTCCTTCTACATGGAACGTGTTGCAAAAAGACTAGAAATGATCTGATCTTATTTCCTTGAATGCTTTTAGATCCAGATTGAGACATCTTCAGTGAAATGTAACTGTTTTTATAATCCGTATTTTTATGAAATTGTGTGTTGTATGTGACTGTATGTGACTATTTTATCATCTGTATGTGACTGTTTTATAATTTTATGTAATTTTTGTACACGAAAAAGAGGTTCTCATTGACTGCCAGCCATTTTTTGATGACTTCACTGATTTTTAAGAAGAATATTGTGTGCTATGAAAAATATGAAACCAGAGTCTGAAAGACAGGACTGTCTACTTTCAGCAGCAAAAAGAAGTTTGTTCTTAGTTTGTTTCGTTCTCCTGTGATCTCCAGTCGAAAAGAGGAGAGTGTGACCCGTCACCAGTCTTAGACAAAAAAATTAGAAAATTAGGTTTTTGTGAAAACAGACGAACTGCAGAAAAGTGATTGTAAAACTATTTAGTTTAACTGTAGCATCTCCTCAAACATGTCCAGGATCTTACATGTTAGAAAACAGCAACACGTTTTGAGAAAGTGTTTTTAATGTAAAATAATAAGTTTTATGGCACACACACTCACATCCACATAGTGTTGCTCAAAAATTTCAAAATGTACTCATCCAAAAAATGTCAAAATGTACATATTGAAAGTAGAGCCCATGACAAACTATGCCAGATAGAATGGCCAGTATTCATCCATTAGGTGGCACTATATTTATGTCAATAAGAGTAAATCAAAGAATAACAAAATTACAATGATAAACACTATACATGACAATAAATCAAAGTGAATACTTATACTTATAGTATAAGTGCAACAGAATACTGCTGTGTGTCTTTGTGTGTTTGGGCGTGCATGTATGTGCGTTTATGCACGCGTTTGTGTGTTTTTGTGTGGTTACATCTACAGAGCGTCTGTTTAGTCCGGCGTGCGCTGTGACCATATCTGGACTTTGCTGCTGGCTCCTGGTGTGGACTCAGTGATCATTTTAGCAATAGTCCACTTTTCTGTGGCTTTTTTGAGGTGCTCCACTGGTCTGCTGTCCTGACCCTCCACATGGTCTGCTGCTAGGACCCTCCACATGGTCTCTGTCAGCTCTGGAGACACATTTACTGCTCAAACTGCCTCCAAATGTAGCCTGACCCTGACTATATTACTCCATGTCTGCTTCACCTCTGTCTCTCCTGCTCAGAGTGCTCATAGTGATCTTTGACCAAACCAGGGAGTTCTGCTGCCACCTGCTGGCTTAATAAAATACTGTCTACAGCCAAACCCCAGACTGTATGATACAGGGGACACAGACTGACAGGAAAAGATTGAAAAACAATGTTGTCCTCAAATGACATCCATGGATGTCAATGAGTTAATCTCAATGGGACTTTCCTGGTAAAAAACAAAATTCAAAAAAAATTTTTTTTCACAGATTTTTTTTTTTTTTTCACAGATTCTTTGCCGTACCCCTAGAGGGCGCCCGCGTACCACTAGGGGTACGCGTACCCCAGTTTGAGAAACCCTGGTCTACAGTGATGTATGTGTGTGTGTGCATGTGCGTGCAGGTCTACCTTGATGTGTGTGTGTGTGTTTCTGTGTGTATTTGGATCCGCAGTGATGTGTGTGTGTGTGTTTTTAGATCCCCAGTGATGTGTGTGTGTGTGCAGGTCTACAGTGATGTGTTTGTGTGCAGGTCTACAGTAATGATGTGTGTGTGTGTGTTTTTGGATCCCCAAATACGGCCCGGAAAGGAAATGTTCCCGCCCTGCCTTCAGTCAATGGTTTGCTCACTGCTCAGAGGAGAGTTTAAAGTAGTAAAGTTGAGTCGAAATGGACAGGCCAAACTACATGTTGTTCAACAAAGCGCCTGAGTTAAAAAGAGGATGACATGATTGCGGAAAAATTTGCCCACATATTCCAGGTGGGTCACACCTTTCTGGTTTACTTGTAGAACATGCTATCTTTTTAAGGATGCTATGACATTACAGTTTGCATACACGTTACTTAGCGAGCTTTTTTTGACATCATGCAATAAAATCAATACGTCTATATACCGTGTATGCAGTTGCTATGTGTATAATTTAGAGGGTAAGGGTTTATATTTTAGAGGACAATCAGGTAAGGGTTTGGCAAGGGTAATAATATTTGTCTGAATGGCGAACTGCAATGGACAAAGTAAGAAGAGGTGTCACGTGTCGTTCATAAACTGTTTCTATTTCAAAGGTATACGCTCCTAGCCTCTGTATATAACAGATGATGACAACGTCGCAATTTTTCCTGGAACGAGCGGGCATTTCAGCTGTTTCAACCTGCGCCCTCGTGGGCACTACGAAGTCCACGGGGACGATATCGCTCTCCCAGAGGCAGAACAGGTACCACAATCAGGGACCCGGTTCCAGTTCCAGAGAAGCAGCGCAACTGTAACGGCTGCTTTGGGATCACCTGGGCAGGCTTGCAGCACTCCCCTTTGCGCAAGCATGAATACTTCATTTCAAAGGTACTGTAGTTACTCGTTTACCATTAATTAACATGCAACTGACTAATCTCTTCTGAAATTCGTTCAATTGCCCAGGGCATAAGTGCGTAGGCCATGACCAGGATAAAGCAGGGGTTGGGCTTATGTTTAGGCTGTGTGCATAAAAGAGAACCTAAAAAAGTGTCATGTCATTCTGTGAACTATGTTGCCGAACCTCTTCCACCAAGAATGTTTGATCAAATCATATTGCTCGCCATGAATTATCTGAACAATTCCTACAACAATCCCTCTAGGACTGTTCCCATTGCTGAGCTCAACCACGGAAAGCTGAGGCCTGCCCGAATGGTTGTCGTATGACTGCTTGAGTTTGAAGCCACCATCACTGGTATACTGGCTAAAATACATGATGCCCTACAGTGTGAGGACCCTTTCGTCCTGACAGATGCTCAGGGAAATGAGATTGTGGATTTAGAGGGAACACGAGGTGTGTGTGTGTGTGTGAGAGAGAAATATTTCACTTAAATACTGTACTCACCAAGCTGTTTACAACGATTGCTTAATTTTCCTTTCTTGCTAGGTTCCAAATACTGGAGGCAAAATGCCAAAAAGTTTTTTTTCTGTCCCAGAGCAGGTCTTCCATCAATTCCAGCAGGGAACAAAGGGAAAGAAACAGACGTAAGCATGTAATTACTTAACGACTAAATAATTATCCTTAAAGGTATGCCACATTATGACTTATTTATAACAAATAATTAAATCAATCAATATGTGGGTGTCAATCATTCAGACTTTTTAAAGCTAAAATTCTTATCTTTATGAATATGCACTGGCTGGATTGACCAATTTTCTTAAGATGTGTCCTTTTGTGCCAAAAAATACCACCGTCATTTCTGTATCAGCTCTGCTGTGATTGCCTTTGGCCCTCGGCCTGCAGCCTCAATGACTGCATCTGAACCACCACATGTAGTAATGATGTCCGCCTGAGTGCATAAATGTATAACTTATTTTGTGATTATGTTTGTCCATTCCAGTGGCCAGAGAGAGAGCGACTCCACAGGTCTTCTAGAGGTCCAGGAAAAAGTGTTTCTTGCGGCCCAAGCATTGACTGGAGTTTCCTCCGTCATGAAGGACCTAGAAACACTTGCAAGCAGCACTGTGGGCAACGTGCTGCTTCTTAGAAAAACTGTTACAATACATGTAAAGGATGCATTTCGCTGCATTGTGTGCAGAGGTACGTAACATTTGTTGACTTATGTTTAACTGTGTTTAAATTGATTATTGCACTAGATTTTTGTATGTTTTAGTTGTTGTGTCCAAGCATGTAAACACAATCTTTATGTATAGCGGTAGTTACACTAAACTTATTGTCCCCTTTTCTAACAGGGCTGATGGAAGAACCAGTCTTCGCTGTATGCTGCAAGAGTTTTGTGGGATGCCACAAATGTGTCGACCAATGGCTGTTGACTCTGAGCAATGCCTAAAGTGCAGGGCAGAGGATTTTGGAATGAACATTCACAGAGTTGCGCGTCTTGACCCCTCCTCTCTGCACTGACTGGTGCAATTACGATGGATTAGGTATCGTCATAGCATTCATTCCCGTTTGGAAGTTAAATGTTCCTGTTCAGTTATTTCCAGCCAGAGAAGTCAGAGTATTTGTTTATCTGCACTTGAGCCAAAGACTGCTATCTGTATTTATGTACTAAAACTGATGAGTATAGAATTCTTTCATTTGTGCATTTTTTCATAAATTAAAATATGTATTCATTTATAGCACAATTCATTTACAATTGTAATAGTTTTGAAACAGACTGTTAAAGCAATGCATTTTATTATTATATTTAGCTATACAGTTTCAAATAAAGATGCATTATAACCAGTGTCTACTACATAATAATTTCATGCACATTGTTGAGTAATGTTTATCAGACATAGCAATGCATTCTGGAAAGGAGTAGAGTTGTAGTTTACAATGTTGTAGAGTAAAACTGTGATATTGGGGTACACCTCTGCAAATACTCTATTGTCCTCTGATGAAAAGGGGTCCGCTCCAAAGCAGGACACTCGAGTCAAGGAGGAGCCAACATCCTGCTCGTACGTGTCAGCAGCTTGAGAGGCATGGGGCTCCAACTCCCGTCCTATTTTTTTGGGACATCCTCCTGCAGCCAGACGATTTGGTTCCTTTGCCTGTGTGAAGAGTATTAATTTGTTGGGCAGTTAAGTTTGAATTGAACAGGACTACTGCATGATGAACCTGGAATTCTATGTGCATTCCAAGCATTTACAGCTCTAGTAATGCCAATCTAGCATACATGTAGCTGAACAGTAAGGTTGAATGTGCAGTATCTGGTTATGTTGTCTTCCGGGTTGACTACTTCCTGATCCTGCAACTGCACCAGGGCCCCCTTCAGTGGAAAATTTACCCGGCTGTTTCTTTCAACCCATATTCGCTCGATCATATGATTCTGGAGATGACAGGATACACGATGTGGTCCATGAAATCCAAGAAATATTGTGTGTATGTGTGCAGGTGACAAGCACTCCCAATGAGGAATAGCCCATTCATAACATTTTTTAAAGATTTGCTTGTTCTTGTAATTTGTAAACCTTGACACAGTTTACTATTAAACAATGATAGTGTGGAAATGAAGTATTTAACTACCTCACCGTTGTTGATGGGGTTTGGAGGTATGGTTCCCTTTGAATGTTATGTCTGTGGTTTGACCGCAAACTCTGCATGTAGATGGACAGGTAAAATTCCTGTCCATGGTCCACCCTCACCTGGTCCCAAATACCATAGTCAAGACCTGCAGATCTGCAATTAGATTTATAATTGCAATCGTCACCAGTGAAACAAGAATTGTCTCCTATGCAAATGGAGGGTTAAATTCTGAAAATAGCATTGTAAAAATGATAATTAAATACAATCATTGGTACATTTTATAATTTGCTATGTAATCGTGTTTATGGGCAAAGAGATGTGTTTCCAGGACCAAAACCAGCTCTCTACAAATACCCACCATGCAAATACTCACTGAATACAATACAATACAATGTATTCTTGTACAGCCCTTGGTCACAACAGAAGTCATCTCAGAGGACTTAACAAAACCATTGAAATCACCAACACAGATCAGAGAATCAACAGTTAAAACACATGAAGAATATAAAGCACACACAGAAGAAAATGTCCATACATGTTGTAGAATGCTAAAGTGTCCTGATCATCACCAATCCTTTCTGTTGGACACCAACTGTCCAACAAGACCCTCCTGCATCGACAAGGAACAACTCTTAAAAAACCCAGTGGGAAAAAGTGAGAAACCTTGGGGAGCACTAGGGAAGCCCACAGGGAGGGAGACCCATTTGAGAAAGGGATCTGCTCCTCCGGACGGACAGGCTAATGATCCAGGACCTAAGCTAGCTACAGGACGTGGACCAGTGGCCGCTGAACGTGGACAGGTCCGGTGCAGGACCGAAGCACTCCCAGGCGGGTCGGGCAGGGCAGTCCGCAGGTGTAGATGGAGGAGGCCAGGCTCAGAGATCCCGTCATCGTACCATGAAACAGACAATGGGACAACGGGTGAATAGCAATGAACAAACTACAGTCAAAATCCTAATAATGCTAAACAGATACTGTAACGTAGGAAGGAGGAGAGGATAGTGCTCAAGTTATCATACTTCTCCCACAAACTGACTCCCTATGCAGCTTGACTGAGTCTGAGGAGTTTAGCCTTCCCTGAGTCTTACCTTCCTAGCCATATGCTAAACTAAAGAGGACTGTTTTAAACCTAGCCTTGAATAAAGAGAGCGTATCTGAAAGGAGGTGAGACAACAGCAGCAGCCATGGCTAGGCTAGGTTACAGCACCAAGATTCATGGATTGCACACCAGGTGTGCAAACCGATCCAGGCAAACCTAATTATATATTATATATCATATATATCACATGTACCATACATATTATATATATTATATATAACACATAACATAACATACAGCATAATATATAACATAATATACAACATAACACAATACACAACATCAATCAATCAATCAAAGTTTATTTGTAGAGCGCCTTTCATACACAGGGCAACACAAAGCGCTTCACAGTCCACATCACAAATCATCACATAAAACAAACACCAGAATCACAATTAAAACATTAAAATCACACAAAAGATTAAAACACAATTAAAACATTAAAATCACACAAAAGATTAAAACACAATTAAAACATTAAAATCACACAAAAGAATAACACTATTAAAACTTTCAAAATTACACAAGAAATTTAAAAAAATAAATAAATAAATGACAGCAGTGCATTAGAAATGGAGATAAAATCCTTCAGTTGTATGCACAGGCAAACAGAACAGTCTTTAACCTGGATTTGAACATTGACAGAGTAGACGCCTCCCTCACATTTTCAGGGAGATTGTTCCAGATCTTAGCTGCATGGATCTGAAACGCAGCCTCCCCATGTTTGGTTCTCACTCTGGGCACCAGCAGGAGGCCAGTCCCTGTGCTCCTCAGAGTCCGGGCTGGTTCATATGACACCAACATGTCACTAATGTATTTTGGTGCAAGGCCATGGAGAGACTTGTACACAAGCAGAGCTGTTTTAAAATCTATTCTTTGAGCCACAGGAAGCCAGTGCAGAGACCTGAGAACTGGACTAATATGGTCATACTTCCTGGTTCCTGTCAGGACTCTAGCTGCTGCATTTTGGATGTACTGCAGCTGCTTACAGGTCTGTTTGGACAGACCTGTAAGCAGGCCATTGCAGTCAGGCCCGTCCCAAGGGGGGTGCGAGGCCCTGTGCGAACTCGAAACGCGAGGCCCTGCCCTGACACTTTTTTCCCAGATCTGAGGAAAGTTTTTCCTGTTATAATCTTTGACATGAATTCAGCACCACCTCGCGCGGTGCTTGACGAGATCAGCACGCGTGTAACCGAGTGTCTTCGCTCCTATGCAGGGTTTGGCGCGCGCACGTACACACGCACACACACTCTACGTGCAATATTGGTCGCGGTCTTTTTAGCTGACATGTCTCTTTCGTCCTGTGGCAAAATGGTAGAGCAACTCAAAAGATTGAACCAAAAGGAGTCTTTTTCTTCTAATAGTTAGATTTGGGCAAAATGCGCCAAAATGGCTATGAGGCGGAGTCAATATTATTTTTTTCTCATCAAATAACGTTTTTGCCATGCCTCCACACACTCTGACAACATACACTCCTCCTCCTCCACACTGACAACAACAAAATACTCTTCACCTCCTCCTCCACACACTCTGACCACAACAAAAACACTCCAGCTAGCTAAAGCTAGACATACAGTGTGTTTGCTAATGCTTTTAAAAATATGTTTTTGATGTGGATATTCGGACTAAACATTGGCAATAGCAGCG